CCACAAATCAACCAAAAACCAAAAAAGTGGTAGTGATGCAAACTGAGTGAAGGTGCCCTCCGCCAATCAGCGGTGAGGGGTGGGGCCACTGTGAAACACCTGCGAAACTGGCTCTGCGTGCTGTGAGCAGGCCGTAAAAAACCCTTTGTCTCGCCGCAACTTAGGTAGGTCCCTAATCATAAAGCTATATACATACAGCATAACATAATCCAAACAGTAATAAAAGCAACATAAATGCATACAGCATAACACTGACTTTCCAAAGAGATCACACATACCATATCAGTGAACACCAGAAAATCTAAATGACACTCCACAAACACCCCGGCCCACGGTGGGGTTCATGACAACATAACTAAACAGCTTGAGGCCTAAGGGACCAATGCTGAGGATGCTTAGAAGAATTTAAAAAATGGAGTTAATACTCATTTGGATAATGAGATTATGCAGAATTAAATATATAAGGATTTTTTTAAAGACCAAAAGTTAAGACAGGACATGCACCCTCATTCTTCAGGACATAAGCAAACCTCTAAGCAATATGGTTAGGAAAAAGCTTTTACCATGGACAGATTACTAATTTCCCCACTTGAGGCTTTCCCGCTGCTTCCTTTGCAGCAGGTAGCGTGGATCGGGCCTGAGCAGAGGACAGTGACTAGATCAGGCGCCCAGGGCAGAGCCGTGATTTGCTGCCCACGCGCCCCTGGTGACAGATGCAGGTTGCATGAGCAGGGGCATTCGGGGAGCAGATCACAGCTCTGCCCCAGGCACCGGCCCTGTGCATTCTCTGTCCAGCGATCCCAAGCTCTCCATGGAGACTGGCTGGGAGCCTCGTGGGCAGGGAACGTGGCCAGATGGACAGGATAGTGCCGTGGGCAGGAGGGTGGGGAACGGCATCCAAAGCCAGGGCCAAAATCTTGGGGCAGTAACAGCGCAGAACTGGGGCCCAGGGCAGAGCTGTGAGGGCAGTAGATCGTGGCTCCGCTGTGGGCCCCAGCCCTGCGCTGTAACTGCCTTGTGATCCCGGCCTCTCCTGTCCGTCCTGCTACCGAAAGCGCTCCCTGCCTGTCTATGGCACGCTGTTAGCACTATCTGCGCACACTGTCCACATGGGTCCCACCCCTAATGGTGGCTGTAGGGGGGACGGGCTGGGGTGCCCATGTCTGGCAGTGGCAGCTGGAGCCCATGTCTGGCAGCCAGGGCTGCCAGGAAGTGAATTCAGCTGTTGCACTGCTCCAGCCCCACTGCATACCCGGGGGCAGCAGGACCAGCCACATGCATCATAGCCTGGCCTGCCCCCCATACCTGGGCCAGGTGGAGCTGAGGGACTTACTGCAGGTTGGACAAAATCCCTTGGCGAGCTGAATGCAGCCCGCAGACCATATTTTGCCCACCCCCGGACTAGATGGAGCTGGGCTTACAGTTGCTTTGGAATTCCTGTTTTGGTCTTATTACAAAAGTCCCCAAAGAAACACCAAAACAAGTCTATCCAATGTAACTAGCATAGTTCAGCATTAGATACCAGGCTGGTGAGCACCTTGTATTAATTTACAGAGTGAAGATGTCTTAGCTTAAAGAGATAGTGTCCATGTCTTCCTCTCTTTTTGTATGAAGCAGCAATGTTAATGTTCAAGACATGTTTTCTTCACCTTGGTTTTTGAAAACTCATTTTAGTTAAGACAGGGGTGAGCAAAATGCGGCCCGTGGGACGGATGCAGCCCGCCAGGCTATTCTATCCGGCCCATGAGGCTCCTAAAAAATTTAGAAAATGAATATTTATCTGCCCCTGGCTGCCTGTCATACAGCCCTTGATGGCTTGCCAAAACTCAGTAAGCGGCCCTCCACCCGAAATAATTGCCTGCCCCTGAGTTAAGAGCTAATACTAAAAATAGGTGTAGTGGTTTGGAACCTGCAGATCTTGATGACCAAACTGGATAAATCCAGAAATTTTTCCTTAATTTTTATGCAGGGAGATGTCTACTGAGTCAATGTTCCCATTGTGTACAGACTAACACAGAATAAGGGCTTCAGGATGTTGTATACTTGGAGCTGTGTGTGTACAGGACTTGGCCATTCAGAGGTGCTAGGAGGTCTGTCACCAGGCTTAAATTCTGCTGAAAACATTTGTCCCAAGTCCAGTTTTCCTACCAGATAGCCACACTTCACAAAGGCAGAGATCCAGCTGGCATGTCCTGCCCGAAAAATTACACAATGTTTAAAAGTAAAGAATGCAACCCAGCAATTGTCAGCCTGCTTCAGATGTGGTTTGTTACAGTATGTTAATGATGCAACATCAAATGCTAAATTCCATACTACAGCCCAGTGCTTTGTGGCATGATGCCTGGCATGATACAGAAATGTAGCCAATGGCTGGAAAATGTACAGCTTGCCAGGTGGGATTTGATAGAAGTATTTTCAAATGCATCCGCCCCACTTGTAAACACCTCACCGTGAATTGAACCTAGATGAAGACACCTGTGGAGCTTGTAAGAGGGTAATTGGTTGTGAAGGGAAACTGGACTCTGGAGACAGACATGCCAGCTGTCATTTATTTTTATTCTGATTAACATTACAAATGCAAAGAACAGATGAATACTCCTTATCTGTGAGTTTCGGCTGATAAGCAGCAGCGTCTGTACTGCAAGGAGAGACTTGTCCTCCTGCTAAAATCATAGACAGTTTGTCCCACAGATCATTTGCCTGCAGCTTCCTTCTGTTCATCTCTCACAAGTTACACACTTGCATCTGGAGGACCCTTTGGTATTTTCTCATGATGTCCCTATCCTTTTTGTTCATGTTTTGACAACTTTGCCAGCAGACTGCTAGCCTTCATGGCATCAATTAATAATTGCATGGCAATTTAGAACATAAGAATTGCCATTTACTGAGCCATCTTGCCCAGTTTCTTTTGTTGCACAGTGGCAGAGAGTGGATGCTGAAAGGGAGAGTGAACAGGGGATGAATAATGCTTTTCCCCTGATCCTTTCCCGCTTGCAGCCTTATAAGGTTTTTCCCCTGATCCTTTCCCGCTTGCAGCCTTTATATAAAATATTTACGTAAGTAGTGGTCCAGAGAGGGTGAGAATGATTGCCAATGTTAAGAGTTTAATTTGTTTAGTCTAGCTGAAGGATATCTAGGGTGACATGGTTACAATGTACAAGTAAATACCACAAGAAGAAAGTACCATGTAGTACAGGGCTCCTTAAACTAGCAAAGAAAGGCAAAAGAAGAACCAATGGAAGCTGGAGCCATACAAATTCAGACTGGAAATAAGGCACAAACCTTTTAACGGTGAAGTAAACCAAAGAAGAACAAACTGCCAAGGGACATGATAGATTCTCTACCAGTTGATGGTGTTAGATCAAAACTGTGTGCCCATTTGGTAGGTATGTATTCACCAAGTTATTAGTCTCAACCCAGAGGTATTATTGGTGATATACTACAACCTGCAATGTGCAAGAGATCAGATGATATGATTTAATGATCCTTTCTGGCCTCCAGCATAATTGCAATAACTCTCATTCTTGATTACAAAAAGGCTAAACACTGATTTGTGTGTAACCGTGGATTATCTTTAGCCTCAGAGATGGAGGAAGAAAATGCGAATGTTTACTTTATATTTGTTTTAGAGCAAACAATAATAAACAAAATAATTTAACATGAGGGGGGTAATGGAGCTCAAGCTGGAAGATGCATGGGGCATACTTTTGCATGTTTTCTGTATCTAAATAGAATATAGGAAAGTAAGGCTGGAAAGGACCAGACAGGAACATCTAGTCCAGCCCCTGGATCAAGGCAGGATCATCCCTGACTAAATCATCTCCACCAGGTATCTGTCTAACGTGCTCCCGAAAACCTCCACAGACAGATTCCACAACTTCTCTAGCTAGCCTGGTCCAGTGTTTGACCATCCTCATGGGCACACAATTCCTCCTAATTCCAATCTAAATTTCTCCAGCTAAAGTTTGAGATCTTTGCTCCTAGTCCTGTCCCCTACAGACACAGAGAAAAGCCCATCCTCTGTAATTGCCCTTCAGGTGTTTGAAGACTGTTATCAAATTCCTTCTCAGTCTTCTCTTCTCCGGACTGAATAACCCAATGTCTTTCAGCCTTTCCTCACAAGTCGTGTATCTGAGGCCCCTAATAATTTTTGTTGCTCTGTGCTAAACTTTTTTCCAAACTGCCCACATCCATCTTTAAGTGTGGGGCTGAGAACTGGATGCACTACTCCAGGTGAGGCCTCACCAGTGCCAAAGAGCAGAAGAAACACTTGATTTACGAGTGACAATCCTGTTAATGCAACCTGGGCTGCTGTTGGCTTTTTTGCACAAGAACACACTGTGGGTTCATATTCAGTTTATGATCCACCATAACCCCCCAGGTCTTACTCTGCAGTACTGCAGCCTAGCTAGTTAGTCCCCAGCCTGTATTTGTGCATGCAATTATTTCATTGCAAGTGCAGGACTTTGTACTTGTCTTTGGTGAATTTCACAAGGACAAAGAATTTGGTTGATTGTAGACCATTTCTCCAGTCCATTCAGGTCATTCTGGATCCTAGCCCTACTTTTTGGAGCATCTGCAACTCTTCCCAACTTAGTGTCATCTGCAGATTTACTAAGTCCCATTTACTAAGTCGATCCCATCTTCCAAATCAGTAATGAAAATATTATACAATACTGGACCTAGAAAAGACCCCTGGGGAATCCCACTTGATACCTCCTCCCAACTAACCATTGAGCCATTGATAACTGCTCGTTGAGTACAATAATCCAACCAGTTATGTATCCACCTTACTGTACTTTTGTCTGGTATTTCCTTAGCTTATTAATGAGAACAATTGTTAATGAGAATGTCATGGGAGACAGTTTTATAAGTCTTGCTAAAGTCAAGGTATATCACATCCAGTGCCAACTCATCATAGAAGGAAATCAGGTTAATCTGGCATGACTTGCACTTGCTTAATCCACGCTGACTGTTCCTTTCATCTTGTTCTCCTCTAGGAGCTTAACAGTGGATTCCTGGAGGACCTGCTGTATGATCTTTCCAGGTATAGCGGTCAGGCTGACTGATTCATAATTCCCTGGATCCTCCTCCTTCCCTTTCTTAAAGGTGGGTAGCAAGTTGCCCTTTTCTAGTCATCTGGGACCTCTCCTGACCTCCATGAGTTCTCAGAGAGGATAGCTAGTGGTTCTGAAATTACTGCAGCCAATTCCTTCAGTACCCCAGCCCGCATCCAGACAAGCACAGATGTGTTGTATATGGCACCACATACCGCCCATTACATTGTTCTCCATGCTCCAGGGGAGCAGTGCGGAGGGTTTTTTGACCCCATATCCAGGGATCAAAAAAAAAAACCATGGAAAAAAAAAAGTGGAGTGGCACATGTGGCAGCAGCATGCGCCATCCAAAGCTGGAGCCTGGCTGGCTGGAGCCTGGCTGGCTGAAGCCACGCTCTGCTGCTGGCCAGGCTTCATGCAGCAGGATCGCCACTGCTGCAACCCCAGGAGGCCCCCCGGTAAAGCTGCTGGGGCCAACTCAGGGCTGACCCTAGCCTCTCCTACCCCACCTAGGGTAACTTGCCGTGCGCCAGAGCGTGCATGGCACAAGCATTCCTCGGGGACAACTAGTAGCAGCACAAGGTGCGCCACTGCTAGTTGTCCCTGGGGAGCCAAATGTCCATGCATATCTGGATGCAGCCCTAGGGTACATCTCACCCTGCCCTGCTGACTTGAAAGTATCTAGCTTCTCTGTAATCCCTAACTGGATCTACAACACTAGGCTGTTTGTCTCCTTCCCTGTCTTTGCTGCCAACTGCACTTGTCATCTGGTGGCTACATCTGTTTGTGAAGAGTGAAGTAAAAAAGGCATGAAATTCTTCAGCCTTCTCTGTATCATCCGTAGCTAGATTGCCTTCCACATTCTGTAAGGGAACTGTGGTGTTTCTCCGTTGTTAATTATTTTACCATGCGTGCATGCATCCTAAACTGGATTGCATTTGAGTTCCTCTTTTCCTATTAGCTATTAACAATTTAAATGTTCTAGCTTGCAGCTGTGCCATATTTGCAAATCTGGAGATAACAGTTGTATAGAAGAGCAGTTGGAAAGCTGTAGTGAAGGTTGCTGACTTTTAAGATGGTTGGACTGTTGTTACAGTGTTCATCACCCTTGATAACTTTTACAAGTTAAGTACTGTAAAAGTGGTATCAGCACACAACACTGGGGTCTTTTGAAAGAAGCCAGAATGGCCTTGAGGAACAGGGTCAAAAAATATACATGTTAGTACTGTTTATCTGTTAGCTCTGCCTCTGCTTCTATCTGGCCCCATCTCAAAAGTAGCTGATGTTTTTATAGCATTATCCCACAAGCAAAAATCATCCATGCAGGCACATGATATGTCTCAGCTCTAAATGGATGTGTTCTAGTTACCTATAATTTTACAAGACAGCACACATCAAGTACAATTACATGCACATGAATTACATTGGTTTCTTCTACTTGTCAAGTTGGGCATTGTCAATTGTTTTTTGCACTCTTCTGTAGAAATACTTGGTTTATTTACATCACTACTAATTCTTGTCTTGACTTCTACCGAGTCTCCTGTACAGGTATAAACTTTTTTGCATAATACATTAATTACTGTTTCTGTGTGGGAAGCAGATACACTGTATAAATCCCATTTCTTAACCCTGGGAACAAGTTGGAATAGAAAACAGCAGCCAGGAATAGGCCAGACCTACAGAAATGAAGTTCCTGAGTTTTTCTTTTCTTTCCAGTCACAAGAATACATCGATTACAAGCTCGATACACATCCCATTCTCATTTCCTCCGAAGGAAACTGAAGCTTATCATTTGGAAAGGACCCTGTGGTTGGGTGGTAGGCACTGTAAGTGTTATCTTTCTTGAGATTTGCACAATATATGTAGTATGCTCCAGGTCTGGTCCCAGCCAAAGCAAATGCAGCCAAATGATTGATGGGATCAACATAACTATTAGTCAACATTACAAACTATCCAGAGGGTATGCAGGCTTCATGCAGCGGAGCTTTATGGCTTGTACATTGGAAAGTTTCAAGTAGTTTGAACTTGATTGGTTTTCCCCTGTTTTTTATTTACTCCCTCTTTCCCCTCACTCTCACATTTAATCCTCATTAGCTTTTTATAAACCTGCATGCTCTTGGCGCCATGTCTATTCCAGTAGTCCTGTGTAGCTTCTCTCCCAAGGTGTGGCTTTAATCACCTCTCCCCCTGCTGTCCAGAGAAACATAGTATTGTCAAGTATTAGAAGCAGATTCTCCCCTCTCCTTTGTGGGTCAGGTCCCAGGGAACTCATGCCTTCACTGAAAGCTACTCTCCACTGTGCCTGCTACACAAGGATCCTCTCCCTTGAGAAATCAGCATTAGGACTACATCTGGCAAGGAGAGGAGTACCCAGAAACCAGGAAACAATAAAGTAAAGGACACAACACCATACAAATCCCTATTAAAGGCAAGACACAGAGGGAAAGCTTTACTGAAAAGAGGAAAATGAAGAGGAGGAGAAGGAAAGGTTTAAAGCTAACTAAGCATTAATAAACACCACTAATTAAACCCATCTCTTACCTCTTAAGTTTCTCAAACTTGTTCAAACCCTTGCTTCCTTCTCTGGAATCTCATTGTGGATGGTACGGTAAGGGTTGTGTGTACTTAGGTGAAATGTGGAAGCATTATAGCCGAGGCCCTGAGAGGAGTGGGAATTTAGTATGGGTTGCCTGGGTCACACTGCCTGTCTGTCTACCCACTTACAACAAAAATCTCTCTTTTTGTTCAGGTGCTCCTTTCCCAGATAGCTTACCACAGCAGTTGGTCAACCATAGATTGTCACTGGTGCAGTATAGGGTGGCCATCATAGAAGACACTCTGGTTTTCTGCTACTCTGTCCTCTATTGATACGAAACTCGATGCCTTTATTTTTCCAAGAGAAAAATGGAGGACATAAAGGTATCGGGTTTTGTATCAATAGAGGACAACCAGACTGTCCTCTATGATGGCCACCCTAGTGCAATATGTGGCAGAGCTGTCTGTGTGGTAGACCCACATGTATCCTTTGATGATCCTGTGACATGGTGAGTACAGGTCACCACTGTAAAAGAAGTCACGCACAGGCATCTTCCATGCCAGCACATTCCTCAAACCCTTTGGTGACCAGCTAATGGTGACAGGCGTAGGACTGTGAGGTCTGGAAGTATTTTTTTGGAAGAGAATCATTCTCAACTGCAGGGGATTGCCAAAGATCATTGGTGCAGTGGAGGATGAATCTTAAATGGATGCACTGTTTTAGAGCATTAGGATAGGTCAGATTAGGGTGGGGGGGAAGTACAATGATGTTATTTATACTATATTGGAAAAGAAATATTACTTTAGGAAACCTCAGCATAACTAAAAGAGAAGGAAGGAAGACTATGTTCCTTGTACAGTCCAATACCCTGGGTAACATTTATTTCGGAAGCACCAGCTACAACATACATATATACTTTTTTATTACTTTGGTGTAACAATGGCATAGAGAGAGAGGTCCCAGCTAAGGGCAGGCCCCCGTTACAGTAGGTGCTTTACAAACAAAGAGTAGGCAACAGTCTCGGCCCCATAGGTCTCAGCCCCAGAAGTCACTATCTGAATTGGCAACACAAAGCTATGGGTGGGAGAAAGGAAGCATTATCCTCTTCTCCCAGATGGAGAGCTGAGGTGGAAAATCTGAACTGATCTTCCCAAGATAACACAGAAAATCTGCAGCAGAGCTAGGGGTCAGACTCTCAGAATCACTTAGACAGTTGTTTAATCTCAAGGCCATCCTCCTGATTTGGTAAGAGCACCAGCTGTGGTGGATTGGTATATGTGTCTGCAAGTCTGTATTGAAGCATGCCTTTCACTTGACATGGTACCTAAAATTTGTTCTATATGTAACCTACATTTTGGGTATGAACTATAACTTCCTCAGCAAGTCAAGAGGCAGCTTGTTGTAATGCCTGGCTTGCAAATCGTGGCTGTGATTTTCTTCCAAAAAAAAAGCAGTCCACCCTTAGAACAGCAGCTTTGCTACAGGGAGCATTCAAGCCAAAGGAAACTGTTTTCTCTAGGAAGATTTGGAGACTTTAACTGTTTGACAGAGTCACATGGCAAAGGAGACAAAGCTTATTTTAGGTGAATATCTGCTTCAGTCCCCCTCTTCCACTGACCAAACATCTCAATGAAGTGGAAGGAAAAAAGCAGGGCATGGCTGGCCCATCCCGCTGATACACAGAGTAGGTCTTAAGGACTCTCAGAAGGGGTGAGGGCATATAGGTTTTTAAAGCTTTCAAGGAAATCAGAAAATCAAAGAATAAATTCAGTAGTCCCTGGTGTGGCCCTGCCTTGCTCCACCAGCTGACCTGAGACTCTGGGCCATGTTTTTCCAATGGTCTGGGGAACCTTGTTGGTAGCTTATGCTGAATCAGCTGACCACACAGCATGGGCTCCCCTCCTTTTTTCCAAGTGAACTGTCCGTAAATAGAAGCTAAAAATTCAAGAAGGACTTTCCTAGCAAGGTATCTTTAGTTCAGATGCTCTTGAGGTGGTACATGATAAAAGTGGCGTTGGTGTGAGGGCCATTCCCCTCATTCCACTGCTTTTCTGTGCCAAGCATATTTGCAATCCCATGAGATATTCTCATGTAGCTCCATCCATTGACAACAGTAGATATCATCAAATATTATCCCTCATCCAGTGTTATCAGGACTGGGTCCCTTGTTTAACCTTATGTAAGCTTTAGCTTGGAATCTGCCCTGGAATCTGGCACTTAAAAGTGCCAGGCCTGCAACCTCTTATTTGGTGCCTCTCAGCCTCAACACCTTTACATATGGGGCATTTAAACTTATCTTTACAGTGGATTCTGACCACGTAAGCAGCTCAGCTAGGATTACTTTGACACTGGCTGTAGCTTTGCAGAATTAATGAGAGATCTTTGTTTTAAAATTCTTTGTTATACTGCTCTCTGTACCACCCTTCCCCTTGTGGGTGTTGGGCAATGGAAATAATATACTTGAAACTACTGTACTCCAAAGTTGAGAGTTGAGAGCTGTCACTGTGTGCCATTCTCAAGGACTATTTCTTCTAGAGGTCAGCATGAAGAGAAATCTCTCATGCCTTTTCTATGGTCTTTTAATATGTAAGTCTAGTTAGTAAAATGTAGAGAACTGTCACTAGAATAGTCTCACAAGGCTACTGCTCTTTTGTGCAAATAATGTGGTGGATCTTATAATAATCTTATCCACCAAATAATGTGGTGGAACTTAAAGGGCTGTTGCATCTTTTTAGTTATTTTGCAAAACCTGCAAGATTCTACCTTGTATTTTATTTGCTGACATTTGCATTTGATACTAACATTTTCTGGATGTCCCTGGATCCCTCAATTATCTTTTCTAGTAGACCATGCTACAGTTACTGTGAATTTCCAATGCAGTTGCCCTAGGTAATCAAACCTTCAGTTGAGAGAATTTCCTTCCCATCCCAAAGAAACCACTGGCCTGGATAAGCAAGTGAGACAATCACACAATGAAGACAATTTGTAGTTGCGGATTATCGTGAAAGGCTAGCTCAATTCATTCTAGTTTTTGTGGCTTGGTAGACAAAGCACAACGTTCATCCCTCTGTGTTAGCATCAACCCACATCTCTAGAGAGTCTAGGCAATCAACAGGACTTCTTAATAAGATACCAGTAGGCAAGGCCTGATGCATAGTTTGCATTAGGTTCAAATCTGATCAAAGGCATGAGTATCTTCTGGAATCTAATGGACACTGTGTTGGGTTTTGTACTATGTGTTGGGCTTCGTGACATGCCAAAGGTCGCATACTGTCAAGAGATCAGCAGGGAGTAGAGCAGAGATTTCATAACTCAAAAGCTAAGTACAGACGGTCAAAAAGCCCAAAGCTAAATTGATTCAATCTTCGCAAGTTAGTCTAAGCTCTGTAGATTAAACTGATAAGCAAGTGAACAGACATTCATTGTTTATTCTGGAAATGCAGCCACTTGCTGCAGTGACCCAGGCCAGAACCTGGGGTGTACTACACCATGCCTCCTTGCTCAGCTGGAGGAGACAGGTTAGGCCAGCACTATCCCACCCACTCTGCAAGGCAGGCACTTGCAGGGAGGTGCAAAGCATCCTGGGATGATGGGAGAATGAGAGTTGATTTGAATCTGGAGGGGATCTGGGACAGAAATTCAATAAACTGATTTAACCAAAATCGACATCTATCAGCTACATCCATCCAGGTTTATTTTAAACCAGTTTTGGTCATTTTGAAAGCAGTTTATGTGCACTGAACTTCTGTTGTGTTACGGATTTGAACCAGTTTTCGATCATATATGCTAGTTTATGTGTAATTTCTGTCCCTAGCCCAAGTGTTATATAGTCTACAGGACCAGAACTCCCAGCTTAATAACAATAATTGAAAAAATAATAAATCAGTTACATTCCAGATCCCCAGTGTATCTCCGAGTTTATCCTTTGAACTCAGTCTCCAATAATGCTACAAAACAGCATTGCACTGGCAATGTAGTGTGGGTAACTTGGCACAAACAGCAATCTATATTGCTGTGGGGAAAAGAAATGCTGTTAAAGCTGTTCAAGGTAAATCAGTGGGATTATAAAAACAGATTTAGCTTCTTTATAATAAAAAGCTTGTTTTAATGAAAGTTAAAAGCTGGGTTAGTGGGGGGCCAGCAACCCTGAAAATGCAGCAGGAATTTTTAAAATTATTTCTATATATAAGGCAGTTATAGAAACATACCTCTTATGTGACTTTGCTCAGAACAGAAAGTATCCAGGAATACAATAGGAAATGAAAGGGCTGATGGAATAATCTGAGAGACTCCATCTTTCAAGGTAGAGCAGGTAGATATCAGAAATCAATACTCCTCATTTTACAAACAAGCAAGCATAGACATATGCCCTTTTAGCAAGGCAGTAAATTAGTCCTAGAAATCATCCCTGTCCCTCACACACAACAATTGTTCACTCTCTGCAGGCCGATTCCACAGCTGGTAGAGATCCATTGGATGCATGCTGATTTACACCAGTTGACAGTCTGGCCAATAGTGTATAAACAGACACTGATTTCCAGGGAGTTCTGCTGATGTACAACAACTGGGGGCCTAGTCCTACCTATCTATGCAAAGGGGATAGATTTGCAAAGGGATTTATAATAGGTCTTTCACCATTCATTCACAAGTTTAAATCCAGCCCCGGTTGCCAGCTGTCTTTTTGTGGGAACAAAATTATTTTAAATAGTATTGTTTTATGATGCATTAAAGCTACTACTTCTATTGTAGCTGCTTCTATTGTATGCAGACTTCTCGGCATAGATTACTCTTGATGACTATTATCTGTCTGTCTAAATGATTTCAGAAGTGCCTCTCATTATGAGCTTAAGCTTTCACAATACTCAGACCAGTTCCTAAAGACAGTTAACACCTTAAATACCTTTGAGGAATTGGCCCTCAGTGCCTTCTGATGCCTGCTTGCTTCCTTTTGAGAGTGGCTGCTCAACATCTTAGAAAGC